CCATTGTCTTATGAACTAGTATGAAGTTAACCTGGAGTCCTCATTGAGTGGCGCTCTATGGAGAAGATCGGATATGAAACTGATTGAAGCAGATAATGTGCATTATGGGGGCTGTTCTCTCTCTCTCTCTCTCTCTCTCTCTCTCTCTCTCTCTCTCTCTCTCTCTCTCTCTCTCTCTCTCTCTCTCTCTCTCTCTCCCGTGCACGCGCGCGCATGCAGCCATACTTTTTTGTGGAGTTGTGTACAGTGAACATGACAACAGATACTGGTGATGGATGTTAGTCTTTTGTGTTTGATTGGGTGGAGGTTGATGCTTGAATGGTGTCTGAGGGTGTGCTTGTTTGTTAGTTCATTTGTTCTTCGGTGCAAGCACATGGTAGTCCCCGCTCAACCACACGAACACGGAGCACCTGCATTCTGATCATTGTTTTGTGAATGTCTTGGGATGGATTGAGGTTCTTGGGGGCCTCTGACACACAAACAGGCACGCACACACACACACACACACACACACACACACACACACACAACATACACACACAACATACACACACAACATACACAGGGTGTTGCTTATACATCTGCATGTCATGTATGAAAAAAAGGGGCAGGCAAGAAACAACATATTCACTACCCAGGCAAGAAACAACACACTCACTAACCTACACCACTAACCTACACCCAACAACGAAAACCAACCATAAGTCTGTAATGACTCTGTATATCACAGCATTAGTTTCCACTGAACAAAATCCAATCCATGTACAAGTGTGCCCTTTATGATTAGATAGACTGGGATGAGCACTTACCTAAGTTAGCCAGCACATAAAACAATTTAAATTTGTGCACTTAGCCAATTTGCGCACCCCGAATGAGCTACACAAAGAGTGGCGCCCTCAAAGGCCAATCCATTTGGGCCTCCCGAAGCGAGCTGAAGTGGCTGAACCGTCTGAAAGCGGTTTCAGCTGCCCCCATCCACGTAGTAAGCAATGGGCCGAGGTGGGGTAAAAATGCATTTTTGCAGGGTGGGGCCACGGGGTGCAGGCTCTCGCTGCACAACCCCCACTATTTGTGTTTTTTTTGAATTTTTTTCTAGGCTACCAGAATGGCCAGGAGCAGTTGCCCATCATGGCTGTGCCGGCAACCAGCCGGTTGGACCCCCGGTGGTCCAACCAGAATTCCTGTTGGGCCCGAAAGTGGGTCAAAAAAATAATAATAATAAATTTTGAGCTCACCGAGATCTCCCCGAATCCGCAAAAAAAACTTTGAACAGAGAAGTTTCGTTTGGGGGGTTGGGGGAGGGGGAGGGGGGGTCGTGGGGTGTTATGGTGGGGATAATAGTGGGTGGGGT